GACTCCTCCTGGTCTTCATCTATGATTCTATAGTTCCTACCACAAAGCACCCCACTCTTCATCAGGACCTATGGATACTACTACCATGAATAATGAAAGTAAAAAGCCCAGTTTCCGATATCTCCACTTTGCCCCCTTTACATAGAGTGGTGAGCTATTTTCAGCCTCTTTAGAGGTTTGTCTGGTTAACACACATCCTGCAGTGAGGTTGCTGTGATATCAAAAATAAAAATAACTCAGGTCAGAAACACATACTCAGAAATCCCCACACTCCTCCCAAAATAAATTCATCAGAGTTCTCCTTGGGTATGTCTACACTACAGTGTTGTTTCAAAATATCTTATTTCAAAATAGTTAATTCGAAATAAGATATTTCAAAATAACGCATCTACACACAAAATGCATTTCGAAATAGCATTTTGCTATTTTGAAATAGCACGTCCACACAGAGTGGACTATGAATCACATTTAAGGCTGGCTGGAACCAGTTCCGGCAGGACACCACGTCAGGACTTAACGTGTGGGGCTGCTGCCTGGGGCTAACTGAGGTCTGTGCTTAAAGGACCCCCCACCCCCCAATCCACTGGACAGCATGTTCTGAGGTTTCCCTGCTTGCTTGTCTACCTCAATGAGGACAGCAAAGCATTTTTGTCTCAGTGTGCTCTGGTTGCCCTCACTCAGGACATCAGAGAACTCTGCAACATGGAGCCAGAGCTGTCCCTGGGTGCTCTGGTGCTTCTCTTGGACGTGTTGCTGTAAGCCTGGCTGCACTTGCTGCAGGCTGCCATCTGGAAGGTCCATCGGGGGGCTGTCAGTATCCAGGAGGCCCTGCGGGAGAGCTTCCACCCTGAGGAGCACTAACAGTCTCCCTGGTCTGCCCCACTGGGGACTTGTGCCTCATTCCTTCCTCACGTCCTTCCACTTACCCCTCCCTAACCCCCTTCCTGGTGTAAAATAAAATACACATATTTTCATAAATACAAACTCTCTTTATTTAACAAAACGGGGTGGTGGGGAATGAAACTCTGGTGAGACTGGGGAAAGGAGGCGGGAGAAGGGAGAGCGAGAGTGGGAGTGGGGAGGGTAAAACCTGGGAGGAAGGAGCTGGAAGGGGGAAGCAAGGGGAAGAAGAGGGAGGGGAAGCTCAGGGCTCATGGTTGGGGGTCTTTCTGGGCCAACTATCTCCCAGCACCACGGGTGCAGGGGCCTCGAAATCCCTGGAGGGATGGGGAGGGGATGGAGGGTGTGGAGGAGGTGAAGGGAGAAGCAAAAGGAGGAGAAGGAGTGGGAGGAGGAGCGGTAGCTGGGGAGGCAGCAGGCGCTGGAGTGGCAGGAGGCAGCACACTCTGCACCAGGGTCTGCAGGTGCTGGCAGATGGCACAGCCCTGGGGAAGCTGCTCCTGCCGGAGCTGCAGGTCTTCTTGCACCCAGTGCTGGAGGGTGCAGTGCAGGGCTCGCAGTGCCCCCAGGTGCTGCTGTTGGTACCCCTCCACTGCATGGGTGGGCCTGCAGAGCCCTCGGGTACGGGAGCATGTCCCGGGCAGGGTGGTGTGCCCTGCACACACAGCTGGTGCGGCTGTGGAGAAACAAGAGAAGTGGTCAGTTATCCCTGGGACACAGTGAGTGAAGCCCAGCCCCCCTCTGCAAGGTGAGGATGACCACTCCCTGCACTATCAGAGCCAATGTGCTTGCACTCAGGCCATGTTCGAAATGTCCTGCTATCCCTGGGAGCGGGAGCTGCCTCAAGACCGCACTCAGGCGCCTGTGGTGTATATAGTGTATGTGTGTGTGTATGGAGTAGATGTCCCCTGCCTCTGTGTACAGTGGCCTTGTGGAGGGAGGGCGTACTGCTGTGTCCCACCCCAGAGTCAGGAGAGTGTCCTACCTCCTCACAGCGGAGGCCACATGCCTGCAAGCAAAAGAAGAAAAACAGACCATCCATGACAGGAACATAACATTTTGATTATAGGCCCTTAAAAGAAACAAAGTGTTCCAGAGGAACATTTTTACACTTAAAATGACACTCTAGTAAATATTCTGCTAAGAGGCTTAAGGAAATGAATGACCCAGGTGGTATCCTCTTATTGCTAGAAGAAGAATCAAGGGAGAGAGAAGGGAGATAATTATGCTAGAATTTAGAGCATCAGTTCAACACAATAGATCCTCTTTATTGTGGATCCAGACTTCAGTCCCTAAATTCACTCTGTCATTCATATTTCACAATCTTTACAATAGGAGGGCATTGAAATAGGGGCAGCTGTCTGTGTCTTCCCCTGGTTGGGAGCTGGCCCCTGTGGCCCTGGCATGTGCCTGCCGCAGCTCTTTTATTTTCATGCACTCCTGCTCCTGGGTGCACATGTGGCCTTTGGTGGCCAGGCTGTCAGCCATCCTCCTGTAGACAGCCACATTCCTGCGTCTAGTGTGGAGATCATGGACATTGGAGGCCTTCCACCAAACCTCAATCAGGTCCATGATCTCCGCACTAGACCAGGAAGGCGCCCACCTTTTGCGGCCCCTAGCAGGCTCCTGAGAGCTGGGGGACTGGCCCTCGGGAGCAGTGGAGATGGCCACTTACCCTGCCATAGACAGCCGCATTCCTCCATTTAATGCAGAGATTATGGACATTGGAGGATTCCCCCCAAACCTGAATAAGGTCCATGATCTCTGCCCTGGACCAGGAAGGCACCCCCTTTTGCGGCCCCTAGCAGGCTCCTGAGAGCTGGGGGACTGGCGGACAACATGGGGGTCCACAGAGTACATCTAAGATTTCCAAAGGGGTCTGACCTACATTTCAAATTTTTAGAGGTTAACAACAACTCTCTGACTATGGTTATCCAGCCAATTATGCACCCATCTTATTGTGGCCCTATCTAAGTTATATTTGCCTAGTTTATCAATAAGAATATCATGCGAGACCGTATCAAATGCCTTACTAAAGTCTAGGTATATGACATCCACCGCTTCTCCCTTATCCACAAGGCTCGTTATCTTATCAAAGAAAGCTATCAGATTAGTTTGGCATGACTTGTTCTTCACAAACCCATGCTGGCTATTCCCTATCACTTTATTACTTTCCAAGTGTTTGCATACGATTTCCTTAATTACCTGCTCCATTATCTTCCCTGGGACAGACGTTAAACTGACCGGTCTATAATCCCTTTAAGGACTCCGGGGAGGGGGAGGGAGAGGAGTTTTCCTGGTTGGGCCCACAGTGGCCACTAGGACACCCTGAGAAGGCTGGAGGCCCCCTATTTCGAAATAAGCGTCTACACCGCACTTATTTCAATTTAGCTATTTCAAATTTGGCGTTATTCCTCATGGAATGAGGTTTACCAAATTTGAAATAAGCGTTCCACTATTTCAAATTAATTCTGAAATAGCAGTTTGGCTGTGTAGACGCTAGGAAAGTTATTTCAAAATAACTTTGCTGTGTAGACATACCCCTTGAGATTAAGCCAACATGCAACTCATGAATTTTATCAGATGCCCCAAATAATGTCCTGTACTTTTGAAAAACATTATTTTCCCATCCACCCCAAACAGAACAAAATATGTGCTCACAAAGACTGTAATCATAAATGAGGAGGTAAGAATTACAGCCCCAAGCCTCCCACACAGCAGCAGCATACTTGGCGGCTATTGAACACATGAACAAACCTTAATGACGATTGATGTTAGCCAAAGCCAGATTATAATCCCCAGGACTGGGCAGATAACACTTTCTCTTTCTTTGTTGCAAGGTTTATTTCATTGGGTTTGTCAAGCACTTGGGAAACCTTAGATGTAAGGGCTGAAAGATGAAAAGGGATCTATTAGCCATATTTGGGGTCGGGAAGGAATTTTCCTCCAGGGTAGATTGGCAGAGGCCCTGGAGGTTTTTCGCCTTCCTCTGTAGCATGGGGTACAGATCACAGCTAGAGGATCTCTGCATCTTGGGGTCTTCAAAGTATTTGAAGGCTTCAATATCTGAGATATAGGTGAGAGGATTATTCTAGGAGGGGTGGGTGAGATTTTGTGGCCTGCACTGTGCAGGGGGTCAGACTAGATGATCATAATGGTCCCTTCTGACCTTGGAGTCTATGAGTCTATGAGTCTATGAAGAGTATTATTATAGCATTAAAACAGATATCTTAATGATACTTGTGTTGGTGTGCTCCACAAGTCAGTTAACCTACTGGGGATAGCTAATGATTGTTCTTGCACATGGCTTTGTTTCTGAGTGATCCTGTTCTTCACCTAATTTATTAAGGTAGGATTTTCATGTGGCTAAAGGCCAGGACATGGAATCAGGAGAAGTAGGCTCTACTAGCTCTGGCAAAAAATTCCTGTAAAGGCGTGGGCACATTCAGGGGCGGCCCGTAAGTATAGGCAGAAACTTGGCCGCTGCCCGGGGCACCTGATGATGACATCACAGGGGCACCTGGGGTGCCCACCAATGACATCAGTCCATTGACGGCCCTGCGGGCGGGGGCACCAATCGCGCGTTCTGCCTGGGGCGCCAGCTGCCGCAGCCAGCCTCGGGCCGCTCCTGGGCACATTATATAAGTGTGCTGGGACTTGCCATAGACATGAAGAAGATCCAAACTCAATACCTGTCCCTAGTCTTCTGCACTGTGAGTCTGGCACTGGTGAGGAGTCCCTGAAGGAGGCTTCATTCTGTCTCCACTAGCAGGAAAGATAATGGACTTCAAAAGTAGGGGGAGTGTAAAGCAGAGGAAACGTTTGGAAGACACTAGAGGGATGTGGCTAGAACATGAAGAATCCTTTCCTTCCTCCACCAAAAAAGGAAAAGCTATACATTCTGGGATTATCTGATTAATAATTATACATAGCACTGCTCATCATTTTACAGATAGCGACTCCTCGACAATTAAACGAGCCAACAATTGTGAAGGTGGAAAAATGAGGTGGAACAAACAAACAGAAAGGCAAAGCATTTTTAAAAAAATCTTTAACAGACTTCAGCACCAGACTTAAAAAACACCCAAACCCATACCGACCTGATCATCACTTTGCCATTCACATGGGTCCAATGGAGATGTCAGAAGTACAGCCCGCAATCAAGAAGCTGCAAAATAACAAATTGGCGGGAGATGATCAAATCACTGCAGAACTGCTAAAAGCACTAAGTACTAATCATCATAATGAAACTGAAAAGCTGTTCAGTGAAGTTTGTGAATCATGGAATCAATATCGGAATACCCAGAAAAGGTGATCTTGCTCACTGTAACAACAGGAGAGGAGTTACATTACTGTCTATTGTCATGAAAGCCTTCTGCAGGCATGATACCAAATGATATGAAAAGAAGCAGTGGATGCAAAGCTTAGAAAAGAACTGGTTGGAATCAGGCCCAAGAGATCTTCTGTTGGCTAGATATTTACACTAAGAATCATAACTCTCAACCCCCAAGCGATGAAATAAAAGACAATGAAGGACAACACTCCATGAAATGAGAAGCATCAAATTATTGTATTTGAACACAGATTTTTTTTTAATACACACACTAGCATGCAAATAGCCTGTGACTTACGATAATGGAGCAAAACAATTCTTATGTGAACTAAAAGCATACAAAAAGATGCCTACGTGAAAATTATGCAAGCACTTTAGAGACCGGCACTTTGCTGTACTGTTTACTGCCCACCATGAATGCCACTTGTTTTGCAAGTGCAAAACATTAAAGAAATTAGTAATTTTAAAAAAACCACCAACAACCAAAAAATAAACAGCGATGTTTGGATTCACACATACAGCCAGGGTTAAGATCAGAAGTGGGGACGGTGGAGGAGGCATGTTATTCCAGCTTCCAGAATTCAAGAGTGCAGCCCAAAGAAAAGGAGTAGTGTGACCATGCAGCAGGCCCTCAGTTCTGCAGGCCATCAGAAGGGGGGCTTACCCTTGCCTGTGAGGAAGAGTACCGGCAGGGGACTCACTTTACAGCAGTAGACAGTCTCCCCAAAGCTGGCCTTGAAATGCACTCCCCAACCCCTGGGAGAGCCTGTTGCACACGCCACTGGAGAAATACAGCCAGCCCAGGCAGCTCCACAGCTGACTGCTCAGGGAACAGTCTCACGAGGTGCTATGCCCGTCTGTGGCTGCCCCTTTCTCCGTCCTGGGAGGCAGCACCACAACCTGGAAGATGTCCTAGATTTCGAGCTACCAGAGGAAGCAAGGCAACTTCCCCTAGCACAAGAAAGCCCAGCCACCTGCAAACAGCTCCTCCGATGCCAGCCACTGTGCTGTGTAGATTGAAGTACACTGCTCAGCTGCCAGTGGGGCTACCTTTCACATGACAGCTGTCCATGTGCCACTCACTTACAGTGCAGCAATGGCTGGTTGTGCACCTGAGACTTGATGACCTCATGCACCGAGATGTGCAGCTTGCAACCAAGAAAACTGCTGAGCAAAACATTAAAGAAATCAGTGATTTTAGGGATATTGCAATGACAATGCAGAACCATGGCACAACTTTAGAGTCAAGGACAGATATGGGGTCGCCTGTATAATGCAGGACACTTGGGAGGTAAGCTAAGGGGAGAACAGCAAAGCATAAGCCCTCCCTCCCCCTTCTGTGCTCAGAAAGAGCATCCTCTCCTCTCTCTTTCACTGATTAGCCCTGCTCCCAAGAGCTTCTCCTTTCCCTCCTCCTCAGCTGCTGAAGTAGGAGCTCATAGGACAGGAGAATATGATGGGGCAGTAGTGGGGGGACCTGGTAGCTGACTGGGGTGTCCTTGGGGTTTTCAGCATTCCCATCAGTAGGTAAAGCAGCAGCACTCAAAGAGGGACATCATGGATGGGAGTCCCCTGTCTACTCTTCTGTCACCTGCAGGATGTTCTATGCCCCAGTGAGCACTGAAAAGACCCCCATTTCTATGGGGTTTTATCAGTATAGACTCTCCCTCCTAACCAAGTCAAAAAGACTGTATGTACAGCAATGGAGGTGAGGAGCTGTGGGCAAAGCTCCTGAACACACTTGTGTGTGGCTGGTTAGCAGCCTTGGGGGGGCTGCGACCTCCTTCCAAATATATTTATTCTCCCATTCTCCTCACCCTTCTCTTTCCTGTCCCCAGTGGCGTGATTCTCTGTCACCACATAAGGAGGAGAACCTTGACAACAGCCACTACCACTGCTGAGCTGCATGACTGCTATGATCTACTTTAACTAGAGGAAATAAACAACAAATGGCCTGGTAGCACTTTAAAAACTAACAAAACATGTAGATGGTATCATAAGCTTTCGTGGGCACCGCCCACTTCTTCAGATGACCAGAGTTATGAGTTTAGGATGTGCAGGCCCAAAATAAATAGGAGAAGGGAAGGAGACAGGGGAGAGAAAAAAAGGAAGGGGTGTGGGAGACAGAGAGATAGAGGGAGTCAGTAAGTATCTGAAGATTGGGTAGTTAACTCTAATTCCAATGCTTCTCTGTGGATCTGGCTAGTAGAACCATAGAAAAGCATTGGACTTGGAGTTCATCGGCAAATTCAATTCACATGCTAATGGACTGATGAAAGTTGGTTTGGACACTACCAACTTAACAGCCATTGAAGGTGCAAACAGCTCTTTGTGTAGACTCTTATGTCAGGAACGATACTATCTATTGACTTTTATTCTTATCTGCATCGTTTTAACTACCCAATCTTCAGATACTTACTGATTCCCTCTAGCTCCGTATCTCCCATCCCCCTTCCTTTTTTCCCTACCCTTCCCCTCTCCTATTTATTTTGGCTGTGCACATCCTAAACTCATAACTCTGGTCATCTGAAGAAGTAGGCTGTGCCCACAAAAGTTCATGATACCATCTATGTGTTTTGTTAGTCTATAGAATCATAGAATACTAGGACTGGAAGGGACCTCAAGAGGTCATCGAGTCCAGTCCCCTGCCCCCCATGGCAGGACCAAATACTGTCTAGAAGACCATCCCCGATAGACATTTATCTAACCTACTCTTAAATATCTCCAGAGATGGAGATTCCACAACCTCCTTGGGCAATTTATTCTAGTGTTTGACTACCCTGACAGTTAGGAACTTTTTCCTAATGTCCAACCTCAACCTCTCTTGCTGCAGTTTAAGCCCATTGCTTCTTGTTCTATCCTCAGAGGCCAAGATGAACAGGTTTTCTCCCTCCTCCTTATGGCACCCTTTTAGATACCTGAAAACGGCTATCATGTCCCCCCTCAATCTTCTCTTTTCTAAACTAAACATAGGTCATGTTCTCTAGACCTTTAATCATTCTTGTTACTCTTCTCTGGACCCTCTCCAATTTCTCCATATCTTTCTTGAAATGCGGTGCCCAGGACTGGACACAATATCCCAACTGAGGCCTAACTCGTGCAGAGCAGAGCAGAGAGGAAGAATGACTTCTCGTGTCTTGCTCACAACACACCTGTTAATACATCCCAGAATCATGTTTGCTTTTTTGCAACAGCATCACACTGCCGACTCATATTCAGCTTGTAGTCCACTATAACCCCTAGATCCCTTTCTGCCGTACTCCTTTCTAGACAGTCGCTTCCCATTTTGTATGGGTATGTCTACACTACAGCGTAAATTCAAAATAGTTAATTCAAATTAAGCTAATTCGAAATAACGCATCTATACCCAAAAACTATTTCGAAATAGTGTTTTGCTATTTTGAAATAGTGCGTCCACGCTGAGTGGACCCTGAACTGAAGTTAAGGTTGGCCAGAACCAGTGTCGGCAGGACATCAGGTTAGGACTTAGTGTGTGGGGCTACTGCCTAAGGCTAACTGAGCTCCGTGCCTAAAGGGACCCTACCCCCACCCCGGAAAGACAGTTCTCAGGGCTCCCCACTTGCTTGTCTACCTCCATGAGGGACAGCAAAGCAATCCTGTCTTGGAGTGCCCTGAGTGCCCGCACTCGGGACACCACTGCACTCAGCCACATGGAGCCAGAGCTGTCCCTGGGCAAACCAGTGCATCTTGTGGGGTCATTGCCATCAGCCTGGCTGCACTTGCTGCAGGCTGCCATCCGGAGGGTCTATCGGGGGGGCTGTCAGGATCCAGGAGGCCCTGCGGGAGAGCGTCAATAAAAGACGTTTTTTCATGAATACGAACTGTCTTTATTTAACAAAACTGGAGAGGGGGAATGAAACTCTGGGGAGACTGGGGAAAGGAGGTGGGAGACGGGAGGGTGGGAGAGGGGAGGGGGAAACCTGGGAGGAGGGAGCTGGAAGGGGGAAGCCCGGGGAAGAAGGGCCTTTAATGGCCAGGCTGGCAGCTATCCTGCCATAGACGGCCGCGTTCCTCCATCTAGTGCAGAGATCATTGACGTTGGGTGCTTCCCCCCCAAACCTGAATAAGGTCCATGATCTCCACCCTGGACCAGGAAGGTGCCTGCCTTCTCTGGCCCGTCAGGCTCCTGGGAACTGGCAGACTGCTCCTGCCCTGGCGGGCTGCTGGGAGCTGGCAGACTGCTCCTGGGAAGTGGTGGAGGGCTGGCTGCCAGTGGTTTCCTGGCTCATGTTTTGGGGCCACTGGGTCAGGGGCCTCGGTGGCCACTGCTGGCTCTGGGCTGGCAGGCTTGGAGTTGGCACAGGCACTGTGGCCAGGTCTACCCCTTTAATGGCTCCTGGGCTGGGGGGAGAGGAGAGTAAGTTTTCCTGGTTGTGCCCAAAGTGGCCACCAGGGCTCCCTGGGAAGAGCTGGAGGCCCCCTATTTCGAATTAAGTGTCTACACAGCACTTAATTCGAAACAGCTATTTTGAATTTGGCGTTACTCTTCGTAGAATGAGGTTTACGAAATTCGAATTAAGCGGTTTTCATGTATAGACGCTATTAAAGTTAATTCGAACTAACGGTTGTTATTTCGAATTAACTTTGTAGTGTAGACATATCCTATGTGTGAAACTGATTGTTCCTTCCTAAGTGGAGCACTTTGCATTTGTCTTTATTAAACTTCATCCTGTTTACCTCAGACCATTTCTCCAATTTGTTCAGATCATTTTGAATTATGACTATCCTCCAGATTAGTCGCAACCCCTCCCAGCTTGGTATCATCTGCAAACTTAATAAGCGTACTTTCTATGCCAATATCTAAATCATTGATG